TTTGTTTCCTAATCCTCCCTGTCTCATAAAAATTTTTATAAAAAGGAACTGAAAGTTCCTTATGTTTCCTGCAGTCACTCAAAGCCCCCCACACTATATGAAATCCCTACAAGGAGAACTCGTACACATGAAATAGCAAAGCTATGCTTTCCCAATAATGCAAATAATAATCTGTGTTATCAACCTCAAATCATAAATATATATTTACACACACATATTTAGAATTGTGTGATGATGGTGATGTGCCAGAAAGAATGCTTTGTCACCATATTTCAAGCATAGTAGAGGCACATCACACTTTATGACAAGCACAACACAGGCCATTACACCTTATTGTAAACACATTGATAAATCACACCTTTTTACAAGCATAAAACTAGGACATCACACCATATCAGTGCTGGATTGGGGATAAAAAACCAGCCCTGGGAAAAGTTTTATACCAATTCACAGGACTTGCCCCAGGACTTACATCAGCACAGAGACTGCGCTCACATGACTTGTCTGAGCACCCATAACTTACACAACACTGAGATTGCACTCACAGGACTTGCCCCAGCACCCAGGACTTACCCTGGCATTTAGATTGCACTCACAGGACTTGCCCAAGGACTTCAAACAGCCTCCTGCATGCACCATGCAGAAGGAAAAAGATGCCGGGTATGAGATTTCCGGGGGCAACAAAGGCGACACACACAAACAGGCAGACAGTCACACACACACACAGGCAGTCACACACACACACAGGCAGTCATACACACAGAGGCAGTCACACACACACAAACACATACACACACACAGACAGACAGTCACACACACACACACAGTCACACACAGGCAGACAATCACACATAGTTACCTCTATTCATTATGGAGGTGGAAGTAGTGCAGCTACTGGATTCTGGTTGTTGAGGAAGCAGGGACTCCTTCCTGCTTCCAATGCAACAATTACTCTGCACTCCTAGCCCCGCCCCACCATCAACTAGCCCCGCCCTGCCACACACTAAGCCCTGCCCCCACTGCAACGTTTTGTTTTTTTTCCCGGGTGGAGAATAATGAAATCCTCCACCCGGGTAGCCGCCAATGTGTGTGCTGTGTCGGCCACAGGGTGCCCCTTGCTCCATCACATTGGCCAAGAGAGTACTCTCTCACACTCTTATGGCTGCATCTGCATCCCGCCACTTCCAAATTCCTAAAGGGGATATCCCACAGCTACACCAAGGTAGTCCAGCCCTGTACCCTATTACAACAGAAGTCTTTAAGTTGGAAAAGCAGGTCAGCGGGATTGTGCACCACCAGCAGAATACACCCAACCCCCGAGGGCCACAAGTTCAAATCCCCCCATCCTTCCAAGGCAAACACAAGCAATTTTACCACAACAAGAGGACATAGTCTTAAATTAGAGGGACAAAGGTTTAAAAATAATATCAGGAAGTATTACTTTACTGAGAGGGTAGTGGATGCATGGAATAGCCTTCCAGCTGAAGTGGTAGAGGTTAACACAGTAAAGGAGTTTAAGCATGTGTGGGATACGCATAAGGCTATCCTAACTATAAGATAAGGCTAGGGACTAATGAAAGTATTTAGAAAATTGGGCAGACTAGATGGGCCAAATGGTTCTTATCTGCCGTCACATTCTATGTTTAATGGTATCACTACATTTTTTTGGGCCTTCCTTAGGGGTGTGCGAGCTGTGCGCCAGGGGAAAAGACAACGATCAATGGAAGAAGAAGGAGACAGAGAAGAAAGAGGAAAACAGCACAGAGAAAAGAGAGGCAAGACCTCAATTTAGAAGGAATATTTAATCTAGCTGGCCAACCCTTAACCATGGAACAGACGGATATCTTTAAGAAGGGCCTCAAATTCGCTCCCACTGCTGACTTTAATCCCTTTGATTTTTTTTGTAGACATGAATATGTTTATTAGAAAACTGTTTAAAAATTTTTTTTACAACAGGGAAAAGTATCAACCAGAAACACAGGATGATGAATATTTCCATACATCACTTAAGGAAAAATCCCAATTCTTTCCAAGACACCTAATTTCAAGCGAAATTAAGACATTTGAAACTATGGTGATGAAAGACGTAGAGAAATTTAGAAAAATAAACAAATACCAACATAACTTATCGATAGGAGAGAGAAAAGCTTTAAGGAATATAAAAAATGATGAAAACTTAGTAATTAAACCAGCAGACAAGGGTGGAGGAGTAGTAATTCTTAATAAAGATCAATATGTTAGAGAAGCAGAAAGGATACTGTCAGACTCTTAGACCAAAAACTAACACACAACCCCATGAATGATACCATAAAATTTTTTAAACAGTATGTGGATAAAGGAAAAGAATTAGGAATCGTTACTGATAAAGAAGCAGAATATTTGTTGGTAGATAACCCAAAAATACCGGTCTTCTACCTCTTACCAAAAGTCCATAAGAATGTAGAAAATCCTCCGGGGAGACCAATTAAATCTGGCATCGATTCCATTTCCACGAGAATCTCTGAATACATAGACACCATACTCCAACCAATAGTTATAAAAAATCTCACCTATCTTAAAGATACGATCCACGTCTTACAAATCTTGGAAGAAATAAAATGGACAAAAGGAAACCTATTGGTCACATGTGACGTGACTTCCCTATACAGTATTATCCCCCATGACAAAGGAATATTTTTTTAGAAAAGTCTGATTTTAAAATCGAACAAATAAAGTATATTTTAGAAGGGATTTTATTAATTTTAACTCATAACTATTTTTGGTTCGAAAATACTTTTTATTTACAGATCTGTGCCACGGCAATGGGCACCAAGTTCGCCTCCAGTTACGCCAACCTTTTTATGGCATTTTGGGAAGAAGCATCTGTATTAACAGGACATCAATGGGTGTCAAACTTAGTGTCCTATTGCCGGTTCATTGATGACATTTTTTTTGTATGGACCGGAACCACAAAGGCCCTACAGGAGTTTATTGCATATCTAAACATCAACAATTACGGAATAAACCTAACTAGCTACTATAGTGAATTTAGTATTAATTTTCTGGATTTAGATATCAGTATTCAGGAATCTATGATAGTAACCAAAAACTATCATAGAAAAAAACAGTTGTTATCATAAGCCTTGGCTTAACAACGCTCCCAAAAGTAAATTTTTAAGAATCCGACGCAATTGTAAAATAGATTTAGATTATCTAGAACAGGCTAACTATATTAAAAAACAATTTATAGAAAAGGGTTATAACGAAGAACTTTTAGACCAAGAAATGGAGGAAGTAGGAAGATTAAAAAGAGAAAAGAACTAGTCGACACCAGTGAAGTTCCTTTTATTTGCAATTTTAATGGACAAAACAGACGCATAGAGAAAACAATAAAAAAAATTGGCACTTATTGAAGGACGACCCAATTTTAAATAAAATTTTACCTTCAAAACCCCAAATTACATATAGAGGAGCAAAATTTTTTTAAAGTATTTTAGTTAAAAGTCACCTAACTCACAAAAAACTAAAGCACCTTATTCAAGATTTAAAAGGATTTTACGGGTGTGGCATGTGCCTCCCATGCAAAACCACAAAAAGTAAGAAGAGACATTTAGAAAATATAGAACATATAATTCATAAGCCATACACCATTAAAGACCACCTAACTTGCCATACAAAGGGCATTATATACAACTTGAAATGCCCTTGTAATCTGGTATATGTAGGAAGGACCATTCGACCTTTGAAAGTTAGGATCGCTGAACACATTCGTAATATTAAAAATGGCTTAGAAACCCACAGTGTGTCCTTACACTTTAAAGAGACTCATAACCAAAACCCAGAAAATCTGTTTTTTGTGCAATAAAGGAAGTAAAAAGAGATTGGCGAGGGGTAATTATATTAAAACATTGGGTAAAGAAGAAATGCGTTTTATTTATAATTTTAAAACCTTAATCCCCCATGGTTTAAACTCTGATTTTGAGGTCTGCCACTTTTAAATTGTTTTTTTTTTAAATTCTTTATTTTTGCTGTGCAGGTGGGTACAAGGAATCAACAGACGCCACAACAGCGTATTGCAAGATATACAATGGTTAAACAGTGGCATGAGAGTCTGCACAATTTTATATTTTTAGCAAGCTTGGCTAAACAGTTAAATCGTTAGCGTGAAGTTACATAAAATACAGCGAGATAGTTGATGCTTAACCTGTCTAAATCGGCATTTGTGCTAGGCATATATGGGAGAAACAAAACAGTGAGCATATTTTTGCCATTAAAACAGAAGCTAAGGTTAGCATCAAGAACAGATTTCTTTAAGCTTAATTAGGCTTAACCACCAGGGGGCAGCAGAGCGTCGGACACACATGCAGGCTCAGACATTTTGATTACTTTCTAACTGCAGGAAGAGAGTCCGATGCAAAAGACACACATTCAAATTGTGGATGAGGTGCTGGATTAAGAGGTACACCATAGTCTGTTATCTCTGTAGGCATATGTGGTTGGAAGACGCTTGATCCCTCTTGCAGCTGTGCTAGATCTGTGCTTGTAGCTGGTTGTTTTAGTGTGCGGGGGGGCTTGACAGTTAGCAGTGGAGTGAAGCTTGTTCCCCATTTTCGGTGTTACCTCGTACTCAGGCAGAGTCAGAGTCCAGAGAGAGTCCCCTTATATCCACTGGTATTAATGGGAGGTGATGCCTCTGTTGGTGTGAGGGTTATTATGCTGAGCTGGGCTTGCTTGTGGAGTATACCCCTCATGCGGGTATCCTGTGGGTGGAAGGAGCACTCAGTCCGTCTGCCGTTGCTGTGGTACTTCCCCCTCACTTCGTCTCACAATGAGCGCGGCAGCCATCTTGGATTTTCCATGCGGTCCCCAGTCAGTCCTCCTGCAGCATGTATGCCCTGAACGAGCGCTTCGTCCCCGGTGGGGTCCGGGATAACCCCTCCGGCCCACAGGGGGGGGGGTAACGGGGCCCTTAGCAGGCGGCGGGAGGTCCCGCCGGACCAAGCACGGGAGATCGGCCGCCTCTCCCGCCAGGGCCTCACAGCAGGCCGCAATCCCACTCGCCCACCAGACCGCATCGCCAGCGGAGTGGGGGCTGGTACTTGCCCCGAAGGTTGGTGGTCGGGTCCCCTTTGTCCTCCCACAGCAGCTGAGGGTTTTCCAGGCGAGTAGGGGCATTTTGGAGCTGGCTATTGCGGGTTTGTCAGGGAGCTGAGGCGCCCCATGTCCACTCAGCTCGGCGGCCAGGCCCCGCCCCCTTTAAATAGTTTTTTTAAATAGTTTTTTATTTATACATTTTCTATAAAATATTTTTTATACAAGTTTTAATAAGAGGACTCCTTTCTTTTCTTTACCTTCTTATATCCCATACAGTAGTATGTTTATACATTTTTTTTGTTTCCTTCCATTTTAATTATGTATAATTGATTACCCATTTGAAAAATTTGAAAAATATAATGGTTATAATCTGGATCATATAAATCATTTAAGTTGTACATATCATACTGCATTATTAATTTTTTTAATAAATTCTTTATTTTGAGAATTTTATAGTTTTATACGGGGTACAGAAAAAAAGAGAACGGGATATAGGGAAACAACAGTTCACAATATCCAGCATCAACCCACAGACCTCATGCATTAGCTTACAATGTCCCCTGAGTCTGAAGTCCCACTGTGCATGTATGGGCCGTCGGGGAGGTGTCTGCGCTCCACCCCTAGGGGGCGAGGGTGCAGAGAAACGCTGTGCTGCGCATTTGGATCTGCGTAGACTATGGCAGAAGTCAGTGTTGCAACCGTAGAGTGAGGTCATCTAACATATCTGAACCATAGAGGGAAAGCTCAACTGGAGCTAATATGAGAGGTAAGGCCGAACTATGTCAAGGCTTGACGAGAGGAAAAATGTGAAGGGGAGAAGAAGAAAAAAAAAATTTAGTATGCAGGTCTCTATATGTCAGTGCATTGTCTCCCTTGTTCTAGGTGCTCGTAGTCTGTCAATGTGCGTGCGTGAGGCGTGCATAAGTGATGGAGCCGTGGTCGAAAATCTGGCGGTAAGAGGGTCCGGGGAACCAGGGGCTCCCCCTGGAACTCCCTCCCCCGCCCACCGGTGCTACACTGCGCCCCAGGGGCCCCAGACCCTCCCAACCGATGCAGTCATCTCGTGAACCAGGGCAGATAGTTCATCCATCTCCTTGGACTTTTCTATTTTCCTTCATACTCCTGGCAGAGTTGGAATTTCTGCCCTCCCCCAATGAACCGCAATAGCCCGTCGCGTTGCGAGCGCTATTTTTGCCACTAATTTATTCTGTGCCCTAGGTAGTGCTTCTAAGGGTTTGGACAGCAGCCACATCCACGGGTCCAATGGGAGGGCCGTTTGTAAGGCTCTGGAGGCGACCTCAGCAACCGCTTTCCACAGCTCGGATATATGCCTACATTCCCACCACATGTGGAAGTACGTACCTTGGGCCCCACAGCCCTTTCAGCAACGGTCAGAGGTCGATTGTTGCATCTGTTTGAGCCTTAAGAGGGTGACATACCATCTAAGCAGGGTTTTTTTACGCCTGGTCCCTATGGTTTACACAGATCGTGACTGAAGCCGTGGCCTCCCAAATGTCTGCCCAGTCTGAGGGATCAGTCGGCGGGCCCAGGTCTCTCTCCCATTCCCTAACGTATGAAAAGGCCTCCGGAGGGGTATCTCTGGCAAAGATATTATAAAGTATGGATATCTGGCCCCTCCGTACCAGTGTGTGCATGCTCATTTCCTCAAAAGGTGTGAGTTGCTTTGTGGCTGCCCCCCTAATGTCCGGGATGGTCAAAAAGCTCCGTAACTGGAGATAACGGAAATTATCAAAAGAGTTGAGGGGGGTAGGTTGCGGTAGGTCTGCAAATGGGAGAAGGCGATCGCCCTGGAAAAAATGGTAAAGTCTGGTTAGGTTGTCATCTTCGAAGTGGGCAAAATGTCGAGGCGTCATGCCCGGGGGAAATTACGGATTCCGTAGGACTGGAGTGAGCGGGGAGGGCATGTTGATAAGGTTGTTTTTGCTGATAACACTGTCCCACACCTGCAAGGACGTCCGCAGGGCCGGCGTGGTGTGGGGCAGCTCCGGCCGGTGAGGTTTCGGCACCCAGAGAAACAACGATGGGTGATCCCTCCCAAAGAGGTCATGCTCCAAGTCGACCCAGATCTTGACCCCCACTGGTGCATGAAGCGTCAGGACCTGCGCCAATTGGGCTGCCTGGTAGTAGTCCCACAGATTCGGAAGGCCCAGACCTCCCTTCCTGTATGGAATATATAGAGTGGTTCTCTTGATCCGAATCCTCCTCCCCCCCCAGATAAACCTGTCTATCTGCATTTGCAAAGCTTTAAAATCTGTTCTCGAGATCGGAACCGGCAGAGTTTGGAACAAATATAGAAAGCGAGGGAGAAGGGTCATTTTAACCGAGGCTATCCTACCCAGCCATGAAATAGACCGTTTTTGCCATTCCGTCAGGTCTTTCTTGGTCTGTTCTATCAGCGGGGGGTAGTTCAGTCGGTAAGTCAAGTTCAAGTCCGCGGGAAGATACACCCCCAAGTACTTAATGCAATCTGGTCGGAAGCGGAACGGGTATTGAGCTCGTAGGGACCCATCCATTGCGTGCGGAATCTGGAGCCCCATCGCTTCCGTCTTTTCTAGATTTAATTTGTATCCCGAATTCCCAGTGTAGTCAGCCAGGAGGCCTAGCAGGGGGGGCAGTGAAGCCTCAGGGTCTGTCAGCGTCAATAAGAGATCATCGGCATAAGCCGCAACCTTGTACTCCTCTCTACGTATCCGTATTCCCTTTATGGCCGGGTCAAGTCTAATCTGCTGGAGAAGGGGTTCGAGGGAAAGTAGGAGGGGCGACAGGGGACACCCCTGCCGCGTGCCATTGTGTATGGTAAAGGGGGGTGGTGAGGTGTTCGGTAGCAATACCCGCGCGGTCGGATAGGAGTACAAGTTGCGGATCGTCGTCATGAACCGGTCGGGAAATCCAAGTCTTGCTAGCGTTGCAAAGAGGTATGGCCATAAATATATGAACATATCTATTCGTGAGTACGAGGTATGGGGATGAGAGAAAAAGGTGAAATCCGCTGTCAGGGGATGTTGAAGCCGCCAGACGTCGACCAACCCCGACGTCGTCAGGAGGGACTGCAGGAGTTTATCCGATTTTGCCATGGGTGGTTGGGAAGAGTCCCTCCGGGCCTGCTTCTTCCTGTCATGATCTGGGGCCGAAACCGCATTGAAGTCCCCACCAAGAATAATGTGGTGGGATGGGAAGAGGTTCAAGTGAGCTAGAAGGGCATCCCAGAATTGCACCGATGGGGTCGTGGGGGCGTAGACTGACGTGATAGCATATTTATGCAAACCCAGATGACCCGCTACTGTCAGGTCTCCCAAGGGGGTCTGCAACTGTGGACGTAAAGTGAATGGGGCATGTCCCACGGACCAGAACAGCAACCCCATTTTGCTTGCCCGAGGGAGAATTCACTAGGTGGCACCCCGTGTAGTGGCGATTGCGTAAGGGGAAGGCCCTGGTCTGCTCGAAATGAGTCTCCTGGAGAAGGACGACATCCGCCCCGGTCCTACTGGCCCACCGAAGAATCCGGTGCCTTTTAGCTGGGTTATTCAAACCCTTACAATTTATCGAGACGCAGTTAAGCCTAAGCGGGGCCGTTCTTGCAGTGGGTCCCCGGTCGTTCGGATTGTCCTGGACCCCCGGGGGCATGACTCAGACCGATCGGCAAGCAAGGGGGGACGCTCCACGGCCACCTGCTCTGGTCAGTAGGAGAGGTGAAGAGAGAGAAAAAAAAAAGGGGGGGGGAAGTAAAGGCCTGGGCTTAAAAGAGGAATGCCAAGCCGCAAGGGTGGATGGGCCTAGTGAGGTTATAAGGTGTGCGAGCAGGGGCGTACCTAGAGCATTTGGCACCCGGGGCGGATCCTGTGCTTGGCACCCCCCCCCACCCAAAAAAAAAAAACCTGTAAAAAATGTTAAAGGTTTTCTTTCTTTATTTTTACAATTTGTAAACTTTGCAAAACCGCTGTCAGCCCCTCCTACAAAACCCTTGTCCTGCCCTGCCCCTCCTACAAAACCTCTGTCCTGCCCCTTCTACAAATCCTGTACTGCCCGTCTACAAAACCCCCGCAACCCCCTTCCACAAATCCCCTGCTTATCCCCCCTTATAAAGACTCCTGTCCCAATACAAAACCCCCACCCCCTTCTACAAAATCCCTGCAGCCCCACACACACATTTACAGGCAGACAGTCACACACTCAGTTACAGACACAGTCACACACTCAGTTACAGACACAGTCACACACTCAGTTACAGACAGACAGTCACACACTCAGTTACAGGCAGACAGTCACACACAGTCACAGGCAGACAGTCACACATACACATTTCCTCCGTGCGGCCAGTTTATCAGCTGTTTGCTTGAGTGAGCTGTACTGGCCGCACGGCACCCTAACTACCATGGGACACTGTGCGGCCACAGCTCACACAGCCCCCTCCAGCCAGGGCCGGTACAAGGATTTTTGCCGCCCAAGGCAAAAGTAAAGTTTGCCGCCCCCCATGTGACATCACAATGCCCCAGCCATATGATTTGCCATGTTAACTAACGCCAGTGCTGCAGTGCCGCCGTGTTTACATTAAAAGGCCTGCAGGGACAGGCTATAGACACCAGAACCACTACATTAAGCTGAAGTGGTTCTGGGGACTATAGTGTTTCTTTAATGTGAGGTAAATTAGAGCTTAGTGCCACGAATAATATACTAGATTGCCTACTTACAACCAGATGAGGATGATGATGGGCTCTAGCTGCAGTCTGGCTCCACTGGTCTGGTGCAGAACAGGCTCTCTGGAGGCGGTTTGTAACTGTGGTCACAAAAATCAATGTTCTGGGAGAACGGGAAGCAGCTCCATTTTTTGGGGGTCCTTTACACAGCTCAAGGTCTGGGTCCCAGGGTCCACCTTCATGTTCCACCAATGAGTTTGTTCACAGGGGGTGGAGTGTGTAGGGGATGTCCTGATATGTGTGTAAGGAATGCATTGTGTGAAATTGTGTTTGTATGTGTAAGGACTGCAAGGTGTGTTTCTGTGTATGTATGGGATGCATTGAATGTGTGTAAGGGGTGCATTGAGTGTGTGTAATGAATGCATTGTGTATTTCTGTGTGTGTAAGGGATGCATTATGTGTAACGGTTGCATTGCTTGTGTATGTGTGTCTGTGTGTTTTTCTGTGTGCAAGGGGTGCATTGTGTGTATGTGATGAATGTCAATCTCTCCTCCCGCTCCAATTTCCTTCTCCTCCTCCCAATTTCTCTTTCTCACCCCCTCCTAATTTCTCTCTTACCCCCGCTCCTATTTTCTCTCACCCCCCCTCCTTTCTCTCTCACCCACCTTCTTTTTCTTTCTCACCCACCCCCCCTTTTCTCTCTCTCACCCCCCCTTATTTCTCTCTCACACCCCCCCTTATCTCTCTCTCTCACACCCCCCCTTATCTCTCTTTCTCACCCCTTTCTCTTTCTCACCCCCCCTTGTTTCTCTCACCCCCTTATTTCTCTTTCTCACCCCCTTATTTCTCTTTCTCACCCCTTTTCTCTTTCTCACCCCCCCTTATTTCTCTTTCTCAACCCCCTTATTTCTCTTTTCTCAGCCCCCCCTTATTTCTCTTTCTCACCCCCTCTTATTTCTTTCTCACCCCTCTCACCCCCCTTATTTCTTTTCTCACCCCTCTCTCACCCCTTGTTTCTCTTTCTCACCTCCTCTCACCCCCCTTATTTCTCTTTCTCACCCCCCTTATTTCTTTCTCACCTCTCTCACTTATTTCTCTTCTCACCCCATTTCTCTCTCACCCCTTCTTTCTCCCCCCCTCCTTGCTTTCTCCCCCTCCCCCCCTGCCTGGTGGCGGGCCTGTATAGTCGGCGGTGCAGGGGGCTTTTGTTCCTGTACCCGGCGGGACCTAACCAGGAAGATGCACTCGGTGTGCACTTCCTGTTGATCGGCAGTACAGGCTGCTCTCTCTGTACCACGTCGGACGTCTCTTTACAGTGAGGGAGCTGACAGGAGCGTTTCCCTCCTGTCAGCCCCTCTCCTCAGGCTGCGCCCGGGCGGTGCGGTCCGCCCTCATGGACGCACCGCCCGGGCAAAGCTGCAGCTGCCTGAGGCTCGGGCGGCTGCAGCATGGGGGGGGGGGCGGCGGGGCTGGCCATGGCACCCCCCACCCGGCTGGCACCCGGGGCGGACCGCCCCCCCCTTAGTACGCCACTGTGTGCGAGTGTCCCAGGTTGGGGTCTCAAAGGTGGTGGGTTCGGGGGGAAAGATGGGCCACAACTATCAGCCTCCCCCCCCCCCCGTGTAGCGTCTACTATATGTGCCTGGCATGGAATTATAAGGTATAGAGAACAGGCTGTACCTTGGTCTAAAACAGCGTGAGGTTCAAAATGTCAACTACAGTAACTGCGAGTGCGGAGTTACTCGTGTAAAGTCACCCTGAAGCGGTCAGAGTTTCTGTGCTACCAGCTGTCAGTATCAGACTATGTCTATTCTAGGTCCATCTGCAAAAACCTATCATCCCTGCGAACATGCTAGGGCCGGGTCCAGTGGGTCTCGAGGGTCATTCCAGCCACCCCAGTGAGGAACCTCTACAGTGCTCGGGTGAACAGCTAAATACCTTGCCTCTCCCCCCCCCCCATCTGTAATCCAGCATCTTGCTCTTCCTATGTCTGGGTCCCTTGTCGTCCCTCTCCAGATGCCCCGCTACTCCCCTCCCATGACTCTCTCTCCTTGTGTAATTCAGTGAAGTCCGTTTGCATTTGTTTGTTTTTCTTTCTTTTTTTTTCCTTTCCCTTCTTTTTGTTTCCCTTCTTCCCTT